GGACGCATTTGTTTGAAATGTGAGGGGGGGGGGGGTTACAGTTCTACCTCTGGCTTTAAGCTTCTCGGCTTGGATCTGTGTACTGAGGGTCAGGGATAGTAGAGTAACTTTGCTTCTCCCCAAATAGTGGGCGGGAGTGATTTCGGGCGAGGAGGACGTGTTTTGAAATATAGTGGGCGCGAGCGATTTCGGGCGAGGAGAGTGTGTTCTGAAATAGTGGCCGCGAGCTATTTCGGGCGAGGAGAGCGTATTTTGCCGACCATGGTTTATGAATTATTCGGTACATGTCATTTCGGCCGAGGAGAAGGCGCGCTTGGATGAAGTTACGAACCTACCCTCGATGTACAACGGGCCAATTGATGTGTGTCCCACATAGGACGGTAATTTCACGTCTCCCATTTATTTACTCGGGCGAATTTCACCGAGCAAGGGATGTTTAATGGTTCGTTTAAATTTTGGGAGAACGAGCATCCACGTCTACCTTACCAAGTCGATTCGAATCAAATTTTGAAATATTAGCTTTTCACTTCTTTTTTAGACGGAGAGATGATGCTCGGGAGTAATGTGTTTTTACATGCTCGTTGCTAGCGATTTACTATATGACAAATAGTTGACCCACTCAAAAACGCGAATCAAACCCAAAATAAAATATCTCGATTCAATGAAATAGCTCGTTCACTAGGTCAAAATAGTGAACTAAATCCAAAATTGAACACCTCAATCGAGTAGCATGTTGTACAGTATTATAGTACTCCATGAACATGTTGAAAGTCAAATTAATGAACATGTTTGATATACGCATATATCCGTTCATGTGTGGATTGCAGACAACATGTTCTCCAATTTAAATATTTGAATGCAGGTTTATATCAAAACATGGTTTATATCAGTCTTTGATGCATAAAACGCGACCTCCCCCTCTCTCGGACTCCTGTTCTCTCTCTCTCTCTCTCTCTCTCTCTCTCTCTCTCTGACAATCTTCAATTCTGTCGCACGCATCCGACACAAAAACCTTGTTGGTCCCTCTCCCTTTCTCTCCATCTCTCTCTCTTTTGTGTGTGTATGTGGGGGGGGGGGTCTTTCTAGTTCACATGCATATATACTCCATCTATAGGTCTCTCTCGCACACTATGCATGACACGCTAGCTAGTCCAAGCTATATATCTTGGGTGCACTTATCGTACGCACACAAATTCCTTGGCTCATTGCCCGTAACTCTCTCACGCACCACTCTGTCGTCTCGGAGCTCTTCCCCCTCTCTCTCAAACTCTCTATCTACCTGGGTCACACATACACATGCATATCTCACTCGCACTCGATGGGCCCATCTAAAACTCTATCAGGTTGCAAATATTTGTTCTTTGTGTGCAGGTACCGTTTACATAGTGTTACTTGGTTCTCCTACTGGATTGATACCTTGGTTTCATAACTGAGGGAAATACCTACCGTAGTTGTGCTGCAGAGCTAGTGAAATAGATCATGATAAGGTACATGAGTAACCTAAATGGTTGTATCGCAATTTTATTTCTCCTCATGCTCTTCGCCTTCCCCTTTCCATAGATCTCTTTCGATTTGTTCGCATTGGCTCCTCCCTCTCCCTCCGACCATCATTTGGCCACTCTGAATTGACCCGTAGTTGTCTTGCCGCCGTTAGTCTCTCCGAAGAGAAAATCCCTAGGCCTCCTTTGATTCAAATAAATTTATAAGATTTTGAAGGATTTGGATCCCGAAACTTTCCTATGTTGGTCTTTTGGTTCATAGAATTAGAACCCTTAGGATTTATTCCCTAGCATTCGTTTGCACTATATTTTAGAGGATTTTTTTCACCCACTTATACAACTGGTAGAATTCCTCTATTTTTTCATAATCCTGGTTTCATGTATTTGCGAATCATAGCTGCCCTTTAGATTTCCCTACCAGTATTCCATCCATTTCCTTTTATTTTGCATCTTTAGTCAAACTTTATAAAGTTTGGCCAAAATTATAGTTAAACATACCAACATCTACATTAGAAAACTTAATTTCATGATGCTTCTAATGACATTGAATTGACATTGTGAATCTTGATACTTTTTCATAATTTTAGTCAAAGTTGATGAAGTTTGACTTAAGCCAAAACCTATGTGGTGAGTTAAAAGAAATGGAGGGAGTAAAAAAACGGAGGGATTGGATGATTTGCCTCACTTCACAAGGGATTTAATGATTTGCCTCTTGATTGTCTTAATGACAGTGGCCCCGGGCCCCGCCCGGCAGCCTCTCGGGGGGGGGGGGAGCAAATGATCAAATGGAGGAATAAAGTGGGGCAAACGATCCAATTTCTCTAAAAGAATCCAAATGATAACGCCCACACGTGTGGCAGTTTTGCAACTCGCCCATACGCGTGGATCACCGTCCAGTCGAGTTTGCACGAATATGGACACATTGAGGCAGAATTTGCGTGCCACGTAGGACGGGGATGGTGTGTGGGCATTGGAGAGTTTGCCCACACGCCCCGCAGCGCACGATTTGCCAGCTGTGCTGTGTGGGTGAACTAGTTTCTGCCCACACATCCACCATCCTGTCCACGCGCGTGCGGGTGAACTGCTTTTCGCCCACACGACACTCGTACGTTGTTGGATGCCAACTGCAGTTATGCGTACGTGGCAACTAGATAAACGCACATGGCAACTATGGTTCGTTGCTAAACGGCAACTGCAGTTACGCGTACGTGACAATCAGATAAACACAAATGACAACTGTAATTAGCCATACATGGCAACTATGATTGGACCACACGTGACAACTAGGTAAACACACATGACAAGTACTGTTTGATCATATGTGGTAAGTAGTTAATCACACACGGCAACTATGGTTTGATTACACGCGGCAACTACTATAAATTAGACATGACAACTATAGTTAACCAGAACAGATAGTACTTTTACAAATACATTTGCCATCTCGAATAACTACATCTGTCATCCTGGATGACAACTAAATTGTTATCCCGCGGGTACCTAATGTAGCTGCGCCAGGACATGTGGGCATTTTTGCTTCATACCACACGTAGGATGAAGATAAGTACTCCCTCCGGTCCATATTACTTGTCGCTCAAATGGATGTATGTAGCACTAAAATACGTCTAGATACATCCGTTCGAGCGACAAGTAATATGGATCGGAGGGAGTAGTACTTGTTGGACGTGTGACACGAAGTAACTACGCCCACACGTATGAACAATTTTAATGTTCGTCCACGCACAGCCCGGGTGGGCTGTCTCTTGCTCGAGCCACACACGGTGTGTGTGCGCGCATATCTAAGGACCAGTTCCCCCAACTTTTTCTATAAACCGCTTCCCTTATTCATTGGGGCTTCTGAACCAGTCATGATTAATTAATTTAGAAGCCTCAATAAATTTTGAGAGCGGCTTATTTTTTAAGCAGCGGAGGGGTAGCTTATTTTTTAAGCCGCCTAAAAAACTGGCCTACCTCGCCTTTGCCCGCTGCTCGCAGCTTCCTCCCCGCCGTGGTTGCCATGTCGCGCCCACACGACGCCGCCTCCACCGCCCAACCCAGCGGCAACGCCGCCCCCCCAACTCAGGCTCAACCCCATCCCGATCCCGTTCGCGCCCCACAACCAAACCCTCGGCGCTCCGCCGCCGGCGCCGTACCCGGCGCCCTTCTACCGCACGTGGCGGCCCCCAGCATTCCCGCCCGTCATGCCACCCGCGGCTTTCCGCCGGCCTAGCGTATACCTGCCTTCTCCATGGCCGCCGGGTGTATTGGGTCCGTACCCAGGCACCCCCTTCCCCCCATTCGGTGAGCTGTTTACCGCAATGCGAATTGCTGGTCGCTTATCTTTTGCAATAATGGTGGATTATCAGAGTAACTAAGAGGGGACGGCGTGTACCTTTGACTGACTGCTTCTCTGTAACAGTAATGGTTGTGCCTTGATGCACCGCCCTGCAAGAAAGGCGAGCCTCATGTTTGTTTCGGAAGATCTAGTGATCTTACACGACCTTTGGTGTCTTTTGGTTTGCTTCCACGACCTTGCTGTGTTTGGTAATGCTTATTGGCTGTTCTGTTACACTAAAAACACAATGTGCACCATTTGAGGGTTTTTTTCTTACACCATTTGAGTTCATGCTGTGGTTTATTTTGCTGCTTCAATTAGTTTTTTTTAAATATGTACATCGCCCCACAGTGGAAAGTTGCAAACTCCCAAGTTAACATTCTGAAATGTTTGCTGTATCATTTCCATTTCTATGTTGAAGTCATCTCACACATTATAGTAAGAAGCTATTGATAGCAACACATTCTGTCAAGCATTCATAGTCTTTAGTGCACTGCATTGATTATGGTATGATCTCTGAGAGTTCTGCAAATGATTGCTACAAACCTATTGTGTTTGATTAGGTTCAGATTTGGATGTCCATATATATCTGCCTCCAGATTTGCATAAAACCGCCGATATGTCATGCTAATTATTTGGATTAATAGCAAGATGTTTACATGAATTTTTATTCTGGTTGAAGTCTTACAATTTACTCCCTCCGTCCGGAAATACTTGTCATCAAAATGGATGAAAGGGGATGTATCTAGACGTATTTTAGTTCTAGATACATCTCTTTTTATTCATTTTGGTGACAAGTATTGTCGGACGGAGGGAGTACATTTATGTACATCTCTCTTATTTTTCGCAAATAAACCTTCCATTGCATTGTTCTACTCAAAGGGATGCTGAGAGCAATGACCAGCTTTGTTTTACTCATCTGCTTGATCCGAGCACTATAATGCCTTTTCCCAGGCTATTACGACTTGTCGATGACTTATTTTGTTTTTGTTTGTTGTTAAGTTGATTTATTTGTAAGGATAGATTATGCATCATGTGTTTGGATTACTGAAGACTTACTGATATGGCAAAAGGAAAATTTGTTTTTTCTTTTGTCTGCAGTAGATCCGAGGTATTTTACACAGTATCCTATCCGTCCAGGGCCTCCAGGCTCACCTCAAAGCCTCATGTATCCTCCTGGCGTTTTCTCGCATCAACGACCAGTGGTAATTCATGGCGTTTCTGATCCTGTGGCTGCGACCAGACCACCTGTCCCACCTGTTGCTCCAGCAGATATACCACAATTTAATGTATACATAGGCAAAATTGCGTCAACAGTGGACAAAGATTTTATTCTTTCTCTTCTCGAGGTATTGTTATTTTTGCTTCTTATGAACTTATAGTATACCTCTGTTTGTAAAATGATCTCTTAATACCGTATCACTAGAATTAAGTTGTTGTTCAAACTGTTCTTGTTAAACCTATTGTCTTCTGGTGAAGCAGATTATAGGATATTTATTATGAATACAAGGTAGTTTATTGGAGAGTTTACAAGGAAAGGTTGTGAGGCATTAAACCACATCTTCTTTGGGTTGAGGGTGTAGATAATAGTGTGTATGTGCCTCTTTTTTGCTACAGGTCTGTGGACCTGTAAAAAGTTGGAAGCCAGTCACAAATCCCATAGATGGAACTCCTACTGCATTTGGCTTTTGTGAGTTTGAGTCTGCTGAAAGCAGTCTTCGTGCAAGGCGGTTGCTCAACAAACTGAGTGTTGATGGCCAAGAACTGGTGGTATGTACTGGTCTGCACGTCATTTATGCTTGCAACTTTTGTATACTAATAAATGTAGACTAAGATGTACTGTTTCCTACAAAAGTGGTACCCTAGTTAGAGATGCTATTTTCAGAGTGGAGATATATATTATGACTTTTTAGTACATGACATACCTCATTTTGTTGGATTGTCGACTACAACATTTTGAAAAGTATCTTGCTAATACTAGTAGACATGCAAAAAAAAAAGAATTGGAGATAATAGGCCTACAACCATGGTGGCTTGGGGGATTTGGGGGGAGCGGTGGAGAGGTGGCATGGTGCGCCTCTCTATAGGTCTGACTGGTAGACCTGGCAGCACGTGGAGAGAAAATTTCATCATGTGGATCCTAATGGTATTTTCGTTAGTTTACATGTCTTGGGGGTGCACCTTTCTAGAGGCAGATGAAGGGCAGGTGGGCCCATGCGGCAGTGAGTGGAGAGGATTCTGCCATGTGAGATCTAGAGGTATTTCTGTTATTTTACGTAGCCTGGGGTTATTGCGCCTTTCTAGAGGCAGGAATGATGACAGAGCTTGCGCGACAATGAGCAGTGAGACGCTTCCACCATGCGGGGCCTATTCTTTTGGGGTTGATTTTATGCCGCACTGACTGAAACGGACGGAGGGAGCATAAGTGGCCTTAATGGAAGAGTGACATTCAGGTAATTCACGTAAAAGTGAGCACACAAGCTGGATTGGCTTTGATAGTAGTGGCATTGGCATAAAGTTTTCTTTAAATAATTAAAAGTGAAGGATGGATGAATCCTTGCATTCTCCCCTTAAGTATTGGGAGTCATATATGTATATTTGTGTGTGTTACAAAAGTAGGGTTGGATTGGAATTGATAAGGATCCCCATTCTTCTGTAGTAGTTTTTTGTTATAAAAATCATAGTGTAGAACATATATAATACTCCCTCCGTCCGGAAATACTTGTCGGAGGAATGGATGTATCTAGACGCATTTTAGTTTTAGATGCATCCATTTATATCCATTTCCGCGACAAGTATTTTCGGACGGAGGGAGTACTTGGAAGTTCCTGATAATATTTGAGAAACCATTTTGGTAATTCTGAGTGATTAATTTCAGCAATTTATCTATGCAAGAAAGTTAACCTTGTTTAGGTATCCATTTGGCAGCTGGGAGCCTAGGAATAATCCCACTATTGTAAATTGCTTACTTTCAATGCTATCATCATGCTTCAAAAGCAACTCTGATCTTATATGAAGCCAATAACATAGGAGAACATGCATTTCGAGAATTCCGGTTTTTTCCTTTGATTTTTTTGTTTGCAAGTTTTGTATGAACAATGTTTTTTTTTCTTTCTTTGTGAAGCTTATCTGTTATGTTCCACCTCCCCCCCGGGTTCTCAATCTAGTGGAATGCTTAATTTCATTTTGTTTGCAAGTTTGCTTCAGCATATCTTTTTTTCATTCTTTGTCAAGCTTTCATTTGTAATGTTTTGCCCACTCGGGTTCTCAATCTAGTGAAGTGCTTATTTGTCTTATCTATGCTTGTTTTGTTTTTGAAATTAGCTTAATGTCAATCAATCCACCAGAGATTACCTTCAGAAACACGGAGATAGAACTTTAGAAGAGAAGGCCAGTGAAGCTGATAAGGATGCTATTCAAAAGATACGCAGTATGATTATAGAGAGATTGAAGAGTAAACTTCCAGGTTCACCAATTCCGCCAGTTCAGGTATCTGCCAGTGCCAGTATTCTCGAAAGTAAAGCTGTTGGTTTCCAAGGTCGGAAAGAGAGAGAAGTGACTGCAGCTAGAAAGTCTTCTTTGCAAATTGATGCGGTACAGTGTTTTCTAAAATAATTGTTGTGTAGATCATATAATACACTCAAAGTTCTGATAATATTCGAGAAACCATCTTGGTATTTATGAATTATTGATTACAGCGAGTTGTCCATAAAAGGAAGTTATCCATGTAAAATTGCTTACCGTTAATGTTATGTGTCAAAATCAACTGTGACCTTGCAGTTTTCATTATGACTTCTATGCACTTCTCTCTTTATGAAGAATTGAAACTGTTAGATAGCGTTCCATTTATTTATGGATGAACCTAATGGCCTAGGAGTACATGCATTTGAAAAGAAAGCCTTTTCATTTCCGTTTTGCCTTTTGCTTCATTTGCAAATTTTTCTGAGCATTTTTTAATTCTTTGTCAAGCTTTCATTTGCAATGGTTTTTTCCGCGGGTTCGCAATCTAGTCAAATATTTATTTTGCTCTCATATATGCTTATCTTTTGGTTTATACAGCTTAATGTCAATGCAGCCACATATCTTGAGAAATATGGTCAGAGTACTACAGAAGAGAAGGCCAATGAAGCTGATAAGGATGCAATGCAAAAGATACACAGTACGGTTGAAGAAAGAATGAAGAGTAAATGTCCAGGTTCACCAATTCTGCCAGTTCAGGTGTCTGCCAGTCCTCCTTTATCACTGAGCGGTCATTTAGGGGCCTTAGCTGGTGATCCGGGTTGTTTCCCTCTCGACGATGAAGTTGTTGATGAGAATAGCGATGTTGATTCCAGAAGTATTGCACTAGAGGAGAGGAAAATCAGGAGACAATGCGAAAAAGAGGACCATTTAAGGGAAAGGATAGCTGTGGGTTTGCAATGTTGGAAAGATAGAGAAGTGACTGCAGCTGGAAAGTCCTCTCTGCAAATTGATGGGGCATCGACAATGTATGCCCCTATGGAGTGTGAATCTACAGTTGAACATGAGACGAAAAGTCAGCACAGGGCAAGTGAGTTTTTTTTCCCGTTAATTTACAAAATCTTCTCCATATTCTAGTTATCTTGAATTTGGATTTGTTTTTGCTTCATTGGACAGTAGATGGGTTTCATAAGAGCAACGGCAAAGTGCGCATTGTGTTTGCACCAGGCCTACTCTCATATGAACAGATCAGCAATGCAGGAGAGAAAAAAGTGGGTTATGAATTGGAAGCTACATCCAAGTCAGGGGACAATAAAACTTTGGATGCAAACCAGTTGCTTGATACTGTCCATAAGGAGAAGGAAGAGCTAAAACAGTTGCTTGCTACTGTCCCTAAGACGAAGGAAGAGCTATTTTCCCATGATATCAATTGGGCAATTTATGACGAGGTGAAACAGCATTAACCACCTTCTCCATTTTCAGTTACTGTACTTGAAAAAAAATGTTTTGTGTACGTGGAACCGGTCAATTTGTTGTCTTTGTGGACCATGCATGTTTAACTCCAGCTCATTCAGTATTTATGACATGAAATAAGTTTATCTTCCTGCAGCATGGATTGCATGAGAGAATGAGGCCTTGGATTTCAAGGAAGTTGACGGAAATTTTCGACGCGGAGTTGCCAGAGTTTGTGGACTACGTTGTCAAAACCATGAAAGAACATGTGAGTGCACCCAGAATGGTGGAGCTCTTTTTATCTCTGTTGGATGATGACACGGAGAGGTTTGTCGTCTTGATGTGGAGGAAACTGATATTTGAAATCAAGAGAGTCGAAACAGAACTAGAACGAACGAGGCCATGCCAGGTTTGTTCTTCTCTTTAAAAAAAATCTTCATCTGGTAAACGCACGTGAATCGAATCCGTGTCGATTGTCTTGTAATGTTTTCCAGTTTTAGGCTCCTGCTGTTGACATGAATAGACAATAAAGTAGTACGTACTCCGTTTCTAAACATAAGTCTTTTTTAGAGATTCAATACGGACAACATATGGGTGTATATAGTCATATTTTAGAGTGCAGATTCACTCATTTTTCATCGTATGTAGTCCATATTAGAATCTCTAGAAAAGACTTATATTTAGAAGCGGAGTATGTACTTCCGAGTCAATGTCCTTTGCGTTGTTCAAATACGTACATACATGGTTGAATTACTGATGTTGTGTATGTGGCGCTGCCTGTCACAGTGCGCTGCTGCTCAAGGTGGTGGGTAGATTGGAAGAGGTTTGCTCCTCTGAGCTGCCGCAGCGGCTGATTTGTACATACATGTTGCAGTCGAGCAGTCGGTTTGGGCAATGTTTGCGTTCCTGCTCTTGGCTGTCATTTGGTTGGTTGAACTTTTGACGCTATCTTGGACTTGGACCTGTACTGAACTCGGTGAATGTATGGAGACTTGCCATGCTGACAGTAGCAAAAAGCATATTGGCAGTGCCAGTTTTTCTTATCTTGTAAAAATAGTTAAGTGAGACTTGAGTATCTTTCGGCGTTTTTTCATCCATGTGGGAGTTGATTGTACTACCTCCATCTCAAAATATCTCAAAATGTTTTTGTAGGCTAGTGAGGTCTCTTATATTTCGAGGCGGAGGTAGTAGTTGCGTGAAACGAAAGGAGGCTTCCATAAAAGCATAACTCTGGTGATGTGAGATTTGTGTCCTGGGTCCATGTTTGGTTGGACAACTCCATGATGGCGACACGGATCGATCTGGAGTATATCACGCCTGGTCTGTGTCACGTTACGAATGCACGTCATTTCTGGGATCGTTTTAGGTTACTTTGCTTGCCTGATGGGATTGGGATTCCCTGATAGCAACTACAGGAACCACCTCCCTTTCTTTCTTTCTTTCTTTCTTTCTTTCTTTCCCTGTGAAGATACGATGGAACAACCCCACCATTGCCATTGCTCCGGTCGACACGATGCAGTTTACATGTTCCTTGCTGTCGCGTCCAACCAAGACAAACTTTTCTCAAGTTGCGACGAAGAAGTAACGAACACCAACGGCCCTGGCCCTGGCCTGGCTTGGCTTGGCTTTGCATGCCGAGGGGAGGGGGCCATCGCCATGATTCATTTCATTTGGTTCCTTGCTCTCCCAAGCTTCTCTCTCCGGAAGGAAACACGTTTCGGTGATGCTGTGGTGAACCTTCCCGGCGGGACAAATGCTTGCTTCCCGCGCTCTTCTTCAACTCAACTCAATCAATCACCTGCCCCGTGCCCATCCTTGCAAGTTGCAAGGCTAACAATAATAGCATAGCACACTTGGGGACTTATTCATGTGCGGAAACGCAACTACTCCATCATATCACATCAGCTTCCAGTGAGCCCGCCATCAAACCAGCTCACGTCAAAGTCGGGCAGGGGGCGTCCGTCCAGGTTCTGATAATAAGGTACGTGCATTTAGGGTGGTTCTTCTCCGTGTTCTTATCCCCAAAGTACGGAATAGTACCATATATGTATATGCATAACCAAACAAGTTGTTATCGACGTTTTGTATAAGCAATGCCAATTGGTAAAGGAAAATTATCTTTCTTTCCTTGCAATATCTGCCCCCATGTTCATGCCGCGTTTTCTTCTTCTTCCTATGCATGCCTTAGCCGTTAATCATCCCATCGCGGTCGGTGTCGGGTCAATCTCACCTTCACGTTTGTCTACGCGCAGGAAGGAACGTGGACGCCGGACGGACGCGCTCCGGACGCCGGACACAAACTAAAGTCTTCTTCTATGCAGACAAAAATGAAATGAGGAAAAAAACCTAATTTGTGTTCACGCCAGCCCGGACAAAATTTATTTTTATACAAAAAAAAACAGCCTGGAAAATACAGTACCATTTTATTCGACGGATCAGATCAAGCCAAAATCGAGATCTGTATATAAAAAGGAGGACGGACTCGGCGATGCGGAAGTGGAAGAAGAAGCTGGGCCACACCTTCTCCCGCTTCGTCTCCTCCAAACCCACATTCAACCTCGCCAAGCCCAAGCCCACCCCGCCGCCGCCACCACCTCCCCCACCACCGCC